CAAAAAAAAAAAAAAAAAAAAAGTTCCAAACTTGACACGGGATGAACAAGCTCCTTCTCATCGTGCAGCAGAAACTCATGCATGGTGTTCCATTTGCGGCCGCGTAACACCAAAGTCCACCTGTAAAACTACCCGGTTTCACAGGTGGACTTGGGTTAGTACCTAGCCGCTTAACAGGGACCTCCTTAGCCGCTCAACACGGAACTCCTTTTCGTTCGTCAAATGGCATTCAGTTCCAGTTCGTGCGTATTCATTTTGAACGGAACTTCGGTTAATGCATACAACTCGAGACGGTTTCCCGTTAGTACGGACTCGACATCACCGAGCCGACAGACACGCGTCTGCCGACGGAGTCGGCCCAACGGCCGCTTCAGCGAGGCCGCTGATTATTCGGTCAGAGCGAATGGGTAACGCAGTCGTACACGTGCCGGTCGCGAACGAACGAACATCCGTCGAACGCCGCGAATACCTCGCCGGAAAGCGATCGCTGCCGTAACCGTGAGGTTTCCCCTGCGCGATCTTGGTCGGAGTCGTGCAGGTCGAAGGATTTACTGCGCCCGGAAGACAAAACCGGTAAGACCGGCTCGCTCGAAACCCATTAATAAGTACTATTTAGTTGGAATATTTGGGTACTTAGTACTAACGAGAGTCGGACTTTTTTATTCTCGGCATGCGGCCGAAAGCGACGAACGAGAAGTCCCGGGAATTTATAGGGCTTCCGCCCACGCCCGTCACATGGATCGAGACCGTCGGAAATCGGGACACGTGAGGCGTGAGGCTCACGCGTGCCACGGCCACCGGCTCACGACCAATCGCAACCACTTTAAAATAATTATTTATAAAATCATGTCTTTCCCGCAACTTAAAATTAAGCTTAAACTCAGATTAAGCTCGGAATTAGTTTAACAACGGTTATTTAAAATAAAACACACAGGACTTCCCGGGTAGGACTCAGGCACGAACGTTTAAGAAAACAGGATCGGTTCGACACGAAGGACAAACCCGAGCGTGTTAATCAACAAATAATATATTCTTATTATAATTATTAAGAAATGAATAAATATTAACATTTAAATATAAATTATTATTAATATTTCCTCGATACTATTATTATTATCATCATCCTATTACATAGGATATTTCCAATCCTACTCATAATCCTACTTATTTCTAAATAAATTTCTACAAATAACAAACAATTCAACAAATAATTTAAATAAGAAGGAGACACGTACCAGCGAGAGTATAAACACCAGGGATGAGGATGAGCGGGGCGACCGGGGGGAGTCGCACCATCGGAGAGCCATCCCCGTAAGCCACGAACTTCTCGACCGTCTCCGTCGCGTCCAGGTCCGTCGCCGCCGCGACCGTCACCGCCTGGAAAAGCAGCGGAGACGCGTGACGCGGCGCGTCGGAGCGGCGCGACGACGACCGGGCGTGACACTCACGTCCCCGACGGCGCGGTCCCGGTCGACGCTGACGTTCAGCGCCGCGAACACGACGACGTCCGACGCGGACAGGTAGGCGGAAAGCGGGTGGGGGTCCACGGCGCCGCCGCATTCCGCGCCGGTCGAGCACGTCCCGTTGCAGCCGGTGCTCTTCTTCAGGATGGCTGCGGGCATTGGCGTGCGTGAGAATAAACTCATCTTAATTAATTCGATTTTAAATGAGTATAATACATTCAAATTTAAATTATTTTATTCCAATAAAATTAAATCGACGACCGAGTAGAGTTACGAAGAGACTCAATAAATAAAATAAAAATATATAAATAAAATTAAATAAAGGAAGCGAGACGGACCGGGATTGGTTTTGCTGCAGGTGCAGAAGTCGCCTCCCTCCTGCACGGCGGCGTACGCGAAGCCGACTTGGCTGCAGGCGAGGGCGCACGCCTCGGGCGTCACGCCCGCGGCCGGGTCGTAGCCCCCCGGCGACGCCGAGAACAGCGGCCGGGCCAGGTCCTCCTCGTAGCAGCCGAGGTATTCTGCGAGAAAATGGATCAGCGGATTTGCAGTTTGAAAATTTGCACGGTTCTTCGTCTGGGCGCTTGCTGGGAATCTGTCGGAGGAAACTCGCTCGAGCGACAGACGTGACATCTAGGGAGAAAAATCTGAATGAGCGATGGCACTTGAGATTCCAGAAAAGAAGCTGAATATTTTTTATACATATCATTATTGAATTGAATATTCCGGAATCTCGTTCGTTTTGGGGCGGTCGCCAGCCACCGGGGCGGTCGCCAGTCACCGGGGCGGTTGCCAGCCACCGGGGCGGTCGCCTCCGGTTTTCCCTTGTCGAGTGCTCGGAAAAAACGCGGAAAAAAAAGTCATTGGAGCAAAAAAAAAAAAATTGGTCTCACTTGCTGTCGCTGCTGCATTTCCGAAGAGGAGCTGAAGAACTCCGACCTGTGCGGACGAGAAACGGGTCGACTTCTGATTATCTCGATTCTGGGCAGCGAAGGAGTTGAAAGTAATTGAAGCTACTAATTAAATTACGAGTTGTTTAGTTGTATTGGAATACTTGGGATTTACATTTCTCCAATCAGTAATTTAAATTCAACTACAATTTCTGGGCTTTTTTGAAATATATAATACATATTTATAACATATTATCACAAGAATATAAATAATAAAGATGCTCATATCACCTATCCCGGGTTTCTTACCGAGACGAGAAACATGGTATTTTGGTATTTTAATTTGGCATCCCCGTAATTTTTCATTTTGCAATTGGTGATTGTGGAGTCGAATAAACCAATAAATATATCAATAATATGAAGTACCAGGCTGTCGATCGATAAAAAATGTAATCGATTAATCGGTCGATTAATCGAATCTTAATCCCTTAGTTCCTCCCTGGATCGTAGGGCATGCGCAAGAAGTGATTAGAGACGATGCAGTCGCTAACAGCAGTGACTGCTGTTACTATCCACAACAGTCACTGTTATGGATAGTAACGGCAGTTATTATCCATACACACATTCAAGACGCACGACACGTTCCGATCGGAGAGCGCATAATTACAACGAAATAAATAACGAAACGTGGCATTTTCAACAATCCGTGCAGGAAGGACGCAAGAATGCAACCAGATTGGAGTCATGCAGTGACACTTCATTACGAAGAGATTTAAAGATTTATTATCGATTTGCTGGCAAGAGAGGATGGCTTCCATCCTGTGTTGGATGGCTTCCACCCACGAAGCCAAGCAAAGACAGTCTTTACACTGTCCTCTTTCCTGCCTCTACTGCCCCGGACCAAATTTCTCATTCCTCCCTTCCCTTGCAGCTTCTTCGTTGCGTCCTTTTCCCATTCGCGTCCGGCGACTTTTCGGTCGCGTCGGCCTCTGCTGCCATCACGAACTACGCGGTTAAATTTTACGGGGGAAAGAGGCATTCAGGGGGAGATTGGGGCGTCGATTAAAATTGAAATGCTTTAGTCAATTAATCGGTCGATTAATTTAATCGAATTGACAGCCATAAAAAATAAACACAGTTCGGCCAGAAATGTTGCCGCCTGCGCGATAAATATTTTAATGGGCTATTATTATTATGGGCCAAAACACAGAGGAGTGGTTCAGTTGGTGAAATTCAAAATTCGCGAATAAAAAAAAAAAAGATTTTGGGATTTCACGAAATTAAATCGGCGAAAGAAATCCTCCCTGCGTCGTCACGTAAAGTTGGCTGCAAGAGTTTAATTAGACGAAAATACAACCATGATTGCACTCGGCAGCACAAAATCTCAAATGAGAGTTCAAGAGGCCCTTTTTGACCTTTCTGACCTTTTTTTTGACCTTTCGGCGTTTCGCCGTTTTTAATCGATTCACGGCAACGGTGGAGAGCGAGGGGCTTTTTGCGAATTCGCCCATCGATTTACTCCACGTTCGCTTTCGGCGCGGCCGATGGCAGACGGATAGAAAACCATGCCGCATGAGAGGCAGACTGTCAGGCTATTTTTGTTTTATATTTATATATTTATATGTTAATTTTACATTTATATATTTATATTTTATTTTCAGGCTGCAGGGAATAAAAGGAATAAATTATTTAAAAATCGCTTCAAGACACAAGGGGGGGCAACTGCCCCCCCTTGCCCCCCCCCCCCCCCCCCCCCCCTCCCGCCCCTCCTTCCCCTTGCCGTCCCTCCTTCCCCCTCCCGTCCCTCCTTC